ATGGGGCCCTTGGGGAGGTCAGAGGACAACTCTGAAGAGTCATTTCTCTCCTTCCACTTTCATGTGGGTCCCAAGGACTGAACTCAGGTTGCCAGACCTTTGCAGCGGTCGGATCAATAAATCACCAGTAATTGATATTTAAACAAATTTAATAACAAAACCAGACTCACAAAACCAAGGTTCCAGCGGAGTATCCAGCGGAAACAGGAGAGAGCGCGGAAGGGGCGCGCAGCAGAATATATCAGTAAACATACGCCTGAGGGCAGCCCGCCCCCAAGGGGAGGGCTTATCCCTACAGACCTTCCCAGCAAGCATTTAACCTTTGGAATCACCTTCCTGGCCTAAGAACAAATGATTTTAGAGAGTTCAGATTTTCTTATCTAAAGCAATATTTTACTTGTGTTTTAATAAATAAAACTTGCCCGAAGATCAGAGTTCAAAGCTAGCCACCCTAATCAACCATACAGGCCAGGCAGTGGTGGCACACACCTTTAACCCCAGCAGCCCCACAAGTTAGCCATCGAGGCCAGGAGGTGGTGGTGCAGGCCTTGAATACCAGCACTAGAGAGGAATGTAAGGTGGGATGGGACAGGAACTCACTCTTTCAGTCTCAAGATTTCATAGAGGTGAGAGCTCTCTATGGCTTGGCTGCTTTGATTTTCTGATCTTCAGCTTGAAGCCCAGTGTCTGTCTCTGGGTTTTTATATTCCTGCTACACTTACCTGTAGGGAAATCTGTGTCTCAAGGACAGCTCATATGTCTTCATAGTTCCAGTTTCCAAAGTTCAATGTGCATTGTCGTTGCTTCACTAGAAACAAGCTGCCAACCACTTCCTGCTTTGTTCTGTTCTTTGTTTTGAGATGGCTCTCACTGTGTAGCCCGTGATAGCCCCAAACCCATAGTGAACTTTCCATCTCAGGCCCCATTGCTGAGATTAATGGCATGTCTACTCACTCCGGGTATGGAGTCTAATATGATCCGCTGGCCTGTCACATGGGTGCCCTGTCCCCTTAAGAGACAAGCCCTGCCCACCGAGGCAAGCAGATCTTCCTCCTCCTCCAGCCTGCACTCTCTCTTTCTGTCCCTCTTCTGAAGAGGTGACTGCTGCCTGTCTCTCCCCCTCTTCTCTCTCTCTCTCCCTCTTCTCCCCTTCCCTTCCATAACCCACTAAATAAACTCTATACCCAAACTCTCTCTCTGCATGGCATATCTGTCTGTCTCTCACCACCGTGGTCTCCCACCCACTAACCTGGCTAGGCCTCTGGGAACACACCGATGCCTTGGGTGACCTGCCATTACCCTGTTGAGACCTTGGGTGACCCTCCACTATCCCCCCAAGACCTTGGGTAACTTTCTGTGGCCCTACCAACGCTTCAGGTGACCTACCACAGTGGTGTGGAAGGTCCTTCTGTCTATGTGTTGCTTTCATTGGTTAATGAATAAAGAAACTTGTTTGGCCTTATAGGGTAGAACAGAACTGAGGTAGGTGGGGAAAACTAAATGGCATGTTGGGAGAAAGGAGGCAGAGTCAGGGAAACACCATGCATCCGCCACCAGAGATAGATGTGCCGGAACTTTGCTGATAGTCCACGACCTTGTGGTGATATACAGATTAATAGAAATGGGTTAAACTAAGATGTAAGAGTTAACCAATAAGAAATTAAAGCTAATGGGCCAAGCAGTAATTTAGTTAATTTAGTTTCTGTGTGGTTATTTTGGTTCCGGGAAGCTAGGACGAACAAGTGGGCTCTCCTTGCAACACCACAGCCACTCATGGGAATGGCTGCTCCTCATAGGACCAGCCTTCTCCCTCCCCCCACTCCTATATCTTTAAAAAGAACAACAGAGTCTATCCACTTCTAATGGACACAATATGGCAATTGAATTGAAGCAAAACACATGCAATCACATCTCAAGTCGGTCAGTGCTACATGCTAAAACTGTGTCTCAAAAAAAAAAAAACCATGGATGCATCAGGCATGGTGGCACATGCCTTTACTCCCAACACTCAGGAGGCAGAGGCAGGTGGGTCCCTGAGTTTGATGCCAGCCTGCTCTACAGAGTGAGTTTCAGGACAGCCAAGACTGTAGAAAGAGACCCTATCTAGAAAAGACAAAAATAAGAAAGGATGGAAGGAAGGAGGGAGGGAGGGGGAGGAGAGAGAGAGAGAGAGAGAGAGAGAGAGAGAGAGAGAGAGAGAGAGAGAGAGAGAGAGAGAGATCAGCAGGGAACCAATAATCATCTCTCACTACAAGTCATTACTGGGAGGGTAGGGGTCGACTGAGCAGGCAGGGCATGGATTTAGAAAAATGAGTTTCTTTAGTTTGGGGAATTGTCATTGTTGAACTGGATGGGAGGAGCTTCACAAAATGACGTGACTGTTAGACAATTTATTGACGCCTCAGGAGCATGAGACACTCTGTCTGTCCTGGACACTGCGGCAGGCTCTCTCTGCCTCTGTGTGGAGCCTGCCCTGTAAAGTTCTTGCTCTTGTTCAGGTCACAGGAGAGAGAGTCAGACACCCGGGTAAAAGCTGGAGGAAGGGAAAGGGGGGGACAACATGAGGGGGGCAGGGACAACACCAACAGCAACACACTGTCTTCCAGATGCATCAGGGTGCTCTCCCAGATAAATTCACTGAAGCTGTGGTTCCCAGCACAAAGCAAACCAGTTCACAGTTCCAGCTTGAGTGGGCAGGGGCTTATGAGGCCCTGTTGTAGGAACTCCTTCAACCGGTGGCCTTTAAGATACCAGCCCACTTGAGCGTGGCCTCTTATACTAAAGTAGGCACTTGCTCTCTCTTCCGGCTCCTGGATTTGGTTGCTGCTGAACAATAAAGATTATTACACATACAACAACTTACCAAATTCTCATAACAAAGGTAACTATTTGACTAATAAATCAATAAACTTGAAAGTTAGATAATGACAGAGAGTATTGCCATCCTGGTCTTCGATGGGGCTGACGATCATAGTTACTTTCCTCTGATGACTTGGCCAAGCTATTTCTAATACAAGACTTAAACTCCTTAGGCTAGAATAATTATTGAAACATTTATTGTATGTTTCTTGCTTGATATTGTTTATTCTAATTTTTATACTTAATATTTGTTCTTATTGTATATAATCTTATATTAGGCTTAGAACTCTCTTATTTAAACAAAAGGGGGAGGTGCTTTAGGAACTCCTTCAGCCAGTAGCCTTTAAGATACCAGCCCACTTGGGCGTGCTCACTTTCTCTTCCAGCTGCTGGTTCTGTTGCTGTTACCCATTCCTGCAGAGGACTGTGATCTGTGAGTCTACCCCTAAATAAATAAACCTTTATTATACTCAATTCTGAGCTAGTGTGGGATTTCTTTTTAGCATCCATCTTCAAGGCCCTACCCCTTGCCTAGTTGCTACTGGCAACGGACAGCCGGGGAGGTTGGGTGAGCAAGGTGGCCCCCGAAGGTTGTTCATATGCATCCAGGTAGTGACTGTACCACAGCATCACTAGGCACAGTGTCTCTGACTGTACCACAGCGTCACTAGGTACAGTGTCTCTGACTGTATCACAGCGTCACTAGGTGCCGTGTCTGTGACTGTATCACAGTGTCACAAGCAGCATCTTCCTTTTCCAGAGCTGGGCTCAGAGCTGACAGGCCTAGAACCTGGCAGTGAAGAGGAGAGGCGGCCCCAACTGCCATCTATCTCTTTGACCTTTGGCTGCCTGTCCTTCTGATGGGGGTGAGGGGACAGGGCTATATATAACGCCAGGCCTTTCTTCCTCGGCATTCACTGAGCTGGTTGTGGGTAGGATCCTTATCCTGGAGACCTGGGTTATCCTGTTCCCCTCCCTAATAGGGGTACGAGAGGAAAAGACTGAGTAAGTGGGGGCCTCTGCCCAGCAGCGTAGGAAAGTGGATGAGGCCCCATAAAAGACCCTGCATGCCCGTAAGGTTCTTCTTCCCAGAATTTCCTGAGAGGTCCAGGGACAGAGGGCAACATGAACTGTCTTCCAGACACAGGCTGTGGCCTCATTCCTGACTTCCACTAACAGGTGGGCTTCACCTCAGGTTGGGGACAAAGGGACATCCTCAGAGAACCCATAAAACCCGACACACAGACCTCCAGGTTATGAAACCAAATTCTCCAGCTTTCTTTTTGTTGTGGAGAAGGGATCTTCTTTTTTTTTTTTTTTTTTTCTTTTTTTCTTTTTTCTTTTTTGGATTTTCGAGACAGGGTTTCTCAAAACAGAGTCTCACTAGGTAGCCTCACGCGACCAGAAACTTCCTGAGATCCTCCTGCTTCAGCCCCTCCCCCTCCTTCCACCACTGGAATCCCAGGTGTTTGCCCACGGCACAGCCTGCCTCTGTCAGCTGTTCTCAGTCACATCCTTCCTGCCTTAAGGGCCCGACTAGTTCTTTACAAAAAAGAAATAGAAGATCAGAGAGGGCTGGCCACCTGCCAGTCTCTCTAGACTGGTGAAGATCAGAATTAGAACTCAAGAGCGCAGTCCCTTTCTGGCAGAGTACCGCCGTGCTCCAACTATGCAAACACTAATCAAGTTATCACAGTCCAGCACAGTAGTATGTGCCCATTATCTCAGAACCTGGGAGGCTGAGGCAGGAGGATTGCTGGGAATTTGAGGCCAACCTGTGTTACTTAGTGAAGGCCACACTAATCAGGATTACATAGCAAGACCTTGTCTCAAATTCATAAACGAACATTCACCTATCGGGTGCTGAGGACTGGTCTCACCTTGCTTGCATAAGGCCCTGCACCAAAATAACCAGGTGTGGTGGTGCACACAGTGATCCCAGTGTTAGGGAGTAGGGAGGAGGCAGGAGGATCCGGAGTTCAAGTCATCCTGGTTACATTGCAAATTCAAGGCTAGCATGAGCTACATGACAACTTGTCTTGAAAATAAAACTGGGTTTGGGGTGGGGAGTAAGATAGCTCAATGGCTATGAAATCCTAACAACCTGAATTCGGTCCCCAAAATCCATGTAAAGTCGGAGGAGAGGGCCGGGCGGTGGTGGTGGCACACCTTGGAAGGCAGAGGTAAACAGATCTCTTATGAGTTTGAGGCCAGCCTCAAACTGGTCTACAGAGTGAGTTCTAGGACAGCTAGGGCTGTTACACAGGGAAACCCTGTCTCGAGAAACTAAAAAGAAAAGAAAAAATAAGAAAAAGGTGGAGTGTTGACTGAAGTTTCTGTCCTACAAGATCCCACAGTCGTTAAGCCCCAAAGAAATACACAGAGGTCTACATTAATCATAAACTTATTGGGCCATTACCTCAGGCTTCTTATTAACTCTTATAACTTATATTAGCCCATAATTCTTATCTGTGTAAGCCATGTGGCTTGGTACCTTTTTTGGAGAGGCAGTCACACCTTGCTTGCTCTGTGTCTGACTTCCTCTGTGTCTGGGTGACTACTGCAGTCTGCCTCTTCCCAGAATTCTCCTGTTCTCATTGTCCCGCCTCTACTTCGTGCCTGGTCACCCCACCTATACTTCCTGTCTGGCTACTGGCCAATCAGCGTTTATTTAAAATACAAGTGACAGCATACAGACCATTGTCCCGCAGCAGTGGAGGGGAGAACTCACCACACAACTGTCCTCTGACACACTGAGGCATGTGCGTGTGTCCCCCACATCATGCACAGTAATAAAACAATCATGGTAACAGGAGGGTAGCAGCCATCATAGCCAGTGGTCACTGCAATTAAACACATCTACCTGCCAGTCAGATGGTGGCATTACCTCCAACACAGTCTGGTCCTCCCTACACAGCGTGGAGGGTGATGGGTAGGGGCAACGCCCACACTGCAGCTCAGAGAGGTTGCATAGCTTCCCCAGGGACAGTGACATAGCTCCCATACATGTGTCCTCACTACACAGTAAGGAGGTGGTCTGTTCAGTGACATAACCTCTCACACATGCGTCC